CGAGTCAAGCACCGCCTTTGCTATCCATTCCCATCGCATGGCACATTCACCATAGAGAGTAAGTATTTGTTCAACCTTTTAACAATTTATTAACTAGTACGCATTTAGTAAATCAACAGAAATCATCACATATAGCACGCAAATTGAAACTGTAAGGTGCAGCTTTTTATTTACTAATAAGAAAAACTCAAACAAAAATGAGAATAATTCTATAGTAACTAATAATGCCATTATCAAATTAATTTTAATTTATAAATCAGATATTTAACTTAAGAATTAAATTCTTATAACCTCTTTGCTAGAGATAAAATAAAAATAAGAGAACTACATTTACGATGCTACAAATAAACATGAAAGAAAAACATATGTATGAAGTATGGAGTTTAGTAATGACAGACTTCGGGAAAAAACACCTGTCTTTTAACATGTCGAATACTCTGTAGTATTAAAAACTGATAATATCAGATACATTTTGTATTTTCCAGATGAGTCTTTCGAGTTGATGGACGGTGTGCTGGGCATGGCACTGTCCCCGCTGCGACCGGACGGCGAGCGCTACTTGTACTTCCACGCGCTCGCTGCCACCACAGAGAACGTGGTCAGCACCAGCCTGCTCAGGAATGACTCCTTTATTAAGAACAGTAATGCGCCAGCAAATTCTATGAATGTAAGTACGCAGATAAAAAATAAAATCAAGGCATTTACTTACTTAGTGAACTTTGAAACATGTAGCTATGTTTGTATACCTGAATCAAAGCACAACCCTTACTTAGACAAACTACAATTAACGTTAATACTTGTAAATTCTTAAATGTTTTTTGTTTAACATTAGGAACCCTTTTTTTACCAATATCACTTAAACTCTTCATAAGATTTTGTTTGATACTTAACGTGCCTCTGTTTATTTAAGTTAAGCTTTCATTTGGAACGAAGGTGAATAATAATACCCATTAAAATTCTTACACTTACTTTTTTTACAAATCTACGAAAGTTCATTAATTGTGTATCAAATGCCTAAAAAGTTACTAGAGCATACACCAGGTACTTCAACACGGTTTACTAACATTTTAATGTTTTCCTTGTTAACAGCCTTTCCCGGAGGAGCGACCAAATCAGTCAGCAGCTCAAGCTATGGACCGCAACGGTATCCTCTACTTCGGGTTGATGGACCCACCCAGTGTCTGGTGTTGGAACTCCGCTACCGAGTTCTCTACAAGGAACTTCCATCCAATAGCAATTAACAGAGAGACCCTGCAGTTCGCTAGTGGCGTCAAAGTCGTCAATAACCTGAAGGGGCAGCAGGAACTCTGGGTGTTGACCTGCCGCTTCCAGAAAATAATGACGGAAACGATCAATGCCAACGAGGTCAACTTTAGAATTAACGCCGAGAAGATCCCGATATTACTCAAGAACTCTCCTTGCGCTATGCCCCCAAAGGATCAGAAACATGGACACCATGCCAATATGATAACACCGAAGGAGAACAGCTATATTACCTACAGATATGGTGCATATCTCTAGAGGTACGTGCTATGATGGAAAATTTGCTCAACACCTTTACATACTACAACTATTGGTTTTAATCTGCATACTAATCGAGCAAAATAACGCGAGTCCTGAGTTCGATGTCGTCACAACAATACAGTAAACAAAAATTCAAGCGTGTCGATGTTTGCACAAGTGCAGCAATTAGCAAGTAATTTGTAGATGTAATATGTATAGTAAATAAATTATTTTAATTAGTTATGTACGTTATCTCATCATTTTATTTATTTTCCCCATATCTTGTGATTGATCATTAAATATGCGATGAACCAATCATCAGATGTGCAATTATTTTACAAGGTCCCAATAAAATGAATGTTTGTTTAATTTTAATTATATAATATCTGTATATAGTTTACATGAGAACATCATACTGGAATGCCTGGTCTGTTTCCAAGAGAGCTCGCACGTACATGACGAGTGAGCCCAGCGCCATCGCTGACGTGAGAGAATTACATGACCCGCCGACTGATGTCGCTACTTTCTTCACACGGTATTCCTCCTGAAATCAAAATTCTATAATGAATAGTTCTAAAATGACAACCGTTACAGATAATTAAGCATGGATTATAGTTAAGTGGCCATAATTGACCGGTAATATATTCCTAAGTCAAGGGTGCCACTT